CCGGGCCGGCCCGGCAGGCAGGCGGTGAGTTGCGGGAGGGGGCGTCACCTGCCAGCGGGTGGGCGGGCGGGGCCCGTGGGTCCTGCGGGTCCTGCCGCTGCTGGAGACTCAGGGTTGCTGCGGGGCGCTCACCCAGCCCGCCTTTGGCCAGGCTCTGTGCTGTGGACGGTTCCTACCTTCTTTCATTGAATCCTTACAGCAACCTTAGGAGGCAGTAATAGTATTGTTTATACTCAGCGGGAGAGGAGACTGGGGCGTCCAGAGGTGGTTACTTTCCAAGGTCCCAGTTAGTAAGAGAGAGTCAAAATTTGAACCCAGGTCTGGTTCCAGAGCCTGGCTCTAAACAGCTTTGCTCCCGGGAAGAGGCGCCACCTCCCCGCTCCCCCTAACTTCCTTCCCTCCAATGTTCTGGGAACTTCGTCGCCAGTGCCTCCACCCTACCATGACAGTTCTTTCAAGACTAGAATTTGGCAGCAACAGCTTTGGAGGGGGGAGGGCTGGGGATGGAGGAAGAGGACAGGACCAAGTGTCCCTAGGTGGTCATTACTGCTAACAGGTGGAGCTAATGGCTGCCTTCAGCTCTTAAAACCCCTCCCGCTCCACAAGCTGGAAGATTAGAGTGAGGCCACCTGGGCAAGATATGATTGGAGGGCAGGGGAGCAGGGATCTGAGGCTTTGAGTGGGAGAAGCTGAAGATAACACCATCACCACCACCAACCCCCACTGTCTGGAGGTAGCCAGCCTTGAGCCAAAGGGAGGAAAGGCATGGCACAGCTGTGCGACCTTGGATGAGTTCCTCAAATTCTCTGTTTCTGTAGGCAAAGGAGTCGCAACTCAATCCAGATCTCCTTGGGCTGTGGTCATCCTGGGGCTCTGGCTGAGGACAAGATCAGACAGGGACCCTAGCCATACCCCTGCCATTCAAAGAATCAGAATGAGGGCATGCAAGGAGCTTAGCAGCCAGCATCCAAGGATCTGCTTTGGGTTCTGATTGCCCAGCTGAGTGTAAGCCCCAGGCCAGTCTTCCCCTCCCTGAGCCTCAGTTATCTTGTAGGTAGAATGGGCATGGCAGACCTCCCTGCAGGCTTGTTGCTAGCATGAGCTGAGATGCACACTGACGTGCTGATGCTTTCTGTCTCCCTGCAGACGGAGGCCCAGGAGCCATGGGTGACTGGGGCTTCCTCGAGAAGCTGCTGGACCAGGTCCAGGAGCACTCAACTGTGGTGGGCAAGATCTGGCTGACAGTGCTCTTCATCTTCCGCATCCTCATCCTGGGCCTGGCCGGTGAGTCAGTGTGGGGCGACGAGCAGTCGGATTTTGAGTGTAACACAGCCCAGCCGGGCTGCACCAACGTTTGCTACGACCAGGCATTCCCCATCTCCCACATCCGCTATTGGGTGCTGCAATTCCTCTTTGTCAGCACACCCACCCTGGTCTACCTGGGCCACGTCATTTACCTGTCTCGGAGGGAGGAGCGGCTGCGGCAGAAGGAGGGGGAGCTGCGGGCACTGCCAGCCAAGGACCCCCACGTAGAGCAGACACTGGCAGCCATAGAGCGTCAGATGGCCAAGATCTCAGTGGCAGAGGATGGTCACTTGAGGATCCGAGGGGCACTGATGGGCACCTATGTGGCCAGCGTGCTCTGCAAGAGCGTGCTAGAGGCAGGCTTCCTCTATGGCCAGTGGCGTCTCTACGGCTGGACCATGGAGCCTGTGTTTGTGTGCCAGAGAGCACCCTGCCCCTACCTCGTGGACTGCTTTGTCTCTCGCCCCACGGAGAAGACCATTTTCATCATCTTCATGCTGGTGGTCGGACTCATCTCCCTGGTGCTCAACCTGCTGGAGCTGGTGTACCTGCTGTTTCGCTGCCTCAGCCGGGGGATGAGATCACAGCAGGGCCAGGATGGCCCCCCGGCCCAGGGCACCTCCTCAGACCCTTACACTGACCAGGTCTTCTTCTACCTCCCCATGGGCGAGGGGCCCTCGTCCCCACCATGCCCCACCTACAATGGGCTCTCATCCAGTGAGCAGAACTGGGCCAACCTGACCACGGAGGAGAGGCTGGCTTCTTCCAGGCCCCCGCTTTTTCTGGATCCACCCCCTCAGAATGGCCAGAAGTCCCCAAGTCGCCCCAGCAGCTCTGCTTCCAAGAAACAGTATGTGTAGGAGGTTGGGGCTATGTCACCCAACAGAGGGGTCCTGAGAAGTCTGGCTGCCTTGAATGCCCCCTCCTTGAAGGCTGTGCAGAGATGACTAGGCTGTGGATGCAAGTGCTCACTGGCCAGAGGGCCTCACCACAAATTGTTCTTGAATACCTGGAGCCTTCCTGGTGGCCAGAGAGCACCATGGCTTCCTCTCCAAAATGTCACTTTGCTCCAGGCACAAACAGAGCCAGCACAAACAGGCCAAGGGTGTTGTGGGCACTGTGGCAGAACCAGAGCCAATTTATCCCACCTGCACCCTTACGGAAGATTCACCTCTGCCCAGGTTGTTCTCACAGGAAAAGGCTGATCAGGACCACTGGGTGGACCTTGATGATATAGACAGACAGCCTGTGCTGGATCCAGCCCTGTCAAGGGGACTGGTGTCTTGTTTTCATCATTCTTTTCTAGTTCTGCTGTTTATGCTTCTAAAATAAACGGGACTTGATCACAAGCAAGGTGTGTATTCTGTCACAATGTGCTTTGGGCAGGGGCTGGAGGGTCCATTATCTTGTGCAGGCTCCCTTTTCTTTTCAGTCCTGCATACTCTGTCTTTGGTTTCTGCAACCCCAACTCCAGCCAGTACCTTAAACCCTCAACCTCATACATTCTGCTGCTCAACAGTGCTGAGTCCTAACACTATCTTTTGAAATGCATCAGGCACTGTCCTTTTCATCCTCACCACCTCTGCCCATCTAGTGCCCTTTTAATCAACCTACCCCTTAATTGGTAGCCAAAGCAGTGTTCTCCCCAGCCTGCCCCACACCCATCCAGTGCTCTGGCCACACTGCCCCCTGCAACATGCTTCCTTACTGGGCACTTGGTCCCCGAGCATGCTTGCCAGCAAGCAGTCCAGTTGGGCCCTGCACCCCCTCCATCTCATCCTGGACCCCTTGGTATTTGGGAAGAGAGTTTTAGGTCACTTGTCCTTCCTTCCTTGGCGCTTTCTATTGTGCCCGCCAGGAGGAACAACTTGAGGATCTGCATCATATCTCCTCTGCACACACCCAAAATTCACTCACTGAGAACAGACAACTGCAGTATACAGAGGCAGAAGGGACTGAATCTTGCCTCTGAGTCCCAAAGGCTGCAGAAAAGAAATGAACAATGGAACTGGATCTTGACAGATGATCCTTGCTGGGGAGGTTAAGAGGACACTGAGGATTTGGGCAAGAAAACTACTTGTGCGAAGGCACAGAGGAGGGGAATGGCCAGGGGGTTGAGAGGGTGCTTAGGGCCTGAAGAGCCATCTAGGATACAGGAGGTATGGCTGAGGATGAGCTCAGTGGGCTGATTTGACCTTCCATGTAAGAGGTGACTGAGGTAGGGGAGTGCACTTGGGTAGTGGCCCTCAGGCAAGCTGGTTGTCTTGTCTACCCAGGGAGATCTGGGGCTGAAGTTGGAGGAGGGAATGGGGTCCATCTCGTTGGCTATAGGTTTCTCCTTGAGAGCCACAATGTTTTTACAGTAGGCTGGCGACTTGGCCCCTCTCCCATCACGATAGTGTTTAAAACACCTGCTCTATATCCCTCACCCCAGAACTAACGTACGCACTCACTGCTTACACATCAAGTCTGAACGTTCAGCCTATGTGATGCTCCTACTCTTCCAGCTTTGATTCCCATTCCCTCTGAATCCCTGAGATCCAATCAAACCAGCCTCCTCATGGCTCCCCAAACTCACCCAATACATTCCCACCCTGCTCCTTTGCCAGCCTGGAGTGTCCCTCCCCCCACACTTCCAAACCCCTCGAGTCCTTTAAATACTATTGTACTCTGGAAAAGGCAGAGCCTTGGTGCAGAAGAAAGAGCAAGATGAGCTTCGGCATCAGAGCGTCCTGAATTTAAATGCTGCCTCCAATGTGTATAAACCACGTGGTCTGAAGTCAATCATTTCACTTCTCTGAGTCTCGGTTTTCTTGTCTCTAAAATGCAGATAACATCACCTGCCCAACTAGTGACAAATAAAATAAGCAAAAGTATATGACTGTGCCTGGCTTATAGTAGTCATGCAGCAAAATTCAGCTTACGCTTTTCAGCAAGGCTAAGGTAGGTCCTTCCTCCTCCAGGAAGCCCTCCTTGACTTCTCCAGCCAGTCTCCAGCAATGACCTCTACCTCTCAGGCTTTGAACCACTGCTTAGTATATGCCCATTTCAGCGTGACTCTAAGAATCCCTAGGGAGACACTTCCATTTCCCATGAGCCTAGCTCAGCATTTGCTTTGGGTATGAAATGAGGGATTGAGTTAGACTGAGCAGAAAGGTGGCTCTTCATACATTGGAAGGGCCTGACCCCAGGAAGCTGAGGTCCTCTTCTAGGAGATTCTCCCTCAACCAGGGTGAGAGGCCAGAGGCTGTGGTTAGAAGCTGTGGTAGAGCCAGCCTTACTCAAGAGCCCTGGGAGCCTGGGTTTCTGGTATCTCCTACCTGTCCTAGCTTGGGAAGGTAGGAAAAAAGCATAGATGGATGAAGAGGGGATCCTTCCCCTCCCTCAAAACTCACCCCTTCTGAGCTTGGGGTTGGGGCTGGGGTCAGGCCAGGGCTCAGGACTTGGACCTTTGGCAAGACTAGGTTGGGACTTAGACTGGTGGTCACACATACACAAGGGCAAATGGGCTGGGGGTTACAGGGGAAGGATAGTGTACTGGGGATGAGACCACACAGTTTGGGGTGGCCACAATGCAGTATGGCGAAAACATATGCAGTGAAGTATGGCTGTAAGTTCATTGCCGCCTGCATTCATTTGCTAGAGCCGCTGTAATGAAGTACCACAGACTTGGTTTAAACAACAGAAATTTATTGTCTCACAGTTCTGGGGCCAGAAGTCCAAGATCAAGGTATCTGAAGGGCTGGTTCCTTCGAAAACTGTGAGGGATTACCTGCTCCCTGCCTCTCTCCTAGCTTCTGGTGGTTTGCTGGCAATCTTTAGCATTCCTTGGCCTTTAGAAGCAGTACCCCCATCTCTGCCTTCATCTTCCCGTGGCATTCTCCCTTTGTGCGTGTCTGTGTCCAAATTCCCCCTTTTTATAAGGCCACCAGTCATACTGGATTAAGACTCACCCTAATGACTTCAATTTAACTTGATTACCTCTGGAAAGAACGTATTTCCAAAGAAGGTTACATTTTGAGTTACTGGGGGTTAGGACTTTGACATAAGGGGGTCGGGGGAGACACAATTCAGCTCATACCACCACCCCACCGGCTCCACCTTACCTCCAAGCGCTGGGGAGGCTGAGGAGAACGTTAGGTTCGTTACTTCCTCCTTTGTGCCCTTCCTCCTCCCACCACCAAATCTAAGTTGATAACAGGCGGCTCTTGGTCATGGAAAGAGCCATAGTCTGGAGTTAGGAGACTGGGCTCCTGCTTCTCACCTCTTATACTCGCTTGACTATGGTTCTTCCCCTTCTCTAGACCTCAGTTTCCCCATTGTGAAAGAGAAGGGTTGGATGAGAAACAGGTATGTGGCAATTGAGTGTGAGGAGCATTGTGTGGGGTAACTTGTCACTAATTGTTGGTCTGAAGTTCATTTGTAATGTGCTATTTCTCATGAATCAGAACAGATTCAAGGTGATTTCTATGATGAGATCTATTCCAGTCACTTGAACCCACATTGCCTTCCTGAGTAGAACAGAAAAGGATGGGGTTATATGAAGTGCACTAGGAATTGCATAAGCCAAGGTCATCTTATCTGTGACCCATGGGAGCATGTGAACGTCATGGGCTGCACATAAACAAAGCAGACAGCTGTCAGGCAGGGTGATGTCAAAACTTCTTCCCAATCTAGCGTTCTGGCTGACTAGCCGCTGGGCTGCTGACCCCACGGTTCTACTACCAACCTCCAGTGTCTCAACTGGCGGTCCTTCCTTTTCTTTTCAAGCCAACCTCAGCATGACCACTGACATTTGCAGGAAGAGGTGTCCATCACAGGATTGTCAGAACTTCTTTTTCCGCCTTTAAGCTTCTCCCAGCAGCCTTGGCTCTTACCCCAAGAGCCACACAACACGTTCGTCCACATATGGCGCTACAGCCACACACAGATAGCCACCAGGCCCATCCTGAGCCTGCTCTCCTCCCAGTCCTTCAGCTGACCCTGATTCCCAGAAGTCTCTAGCCAATCTGCAGTCTGTCTACTTTCCTCTTAACATGTGCCGCCCTCACCTGTGTGCTGGACATGAGACTTCAGGTGATCCGAATCCAGATTATCACTTCTTGCCCCAAAACTTCTTTTTTTTTTTTTTAAAGATGACCGGTAAGGGGATCTCAACCCTTGGCTTGGTGTTGTCAACACCATGCTCAGCCAGTGAGCGAACCGGCCATCCCTATATAGGATCCGAACCTGTGGCCTTGGTGTTATCAGCACCACACTCCCCCGAGTGAGCCACAGGCCGGCCCATTGCCCCAAAACTTCTACCTCTATTAATGCAACCTAGGATTATGCTAATTTTTCTATTTTCTTCTCTTTTTCATATACAAATTTTTTTCCAATTATAAAGATAATGCATGATCATTGTTGACAATGAGATATCACCATTTGGGGGTAACAGCTATTAATATACAGAAGCAATTTCTTTCAGCCTTCTTCCATGCATAGTTTTAAATAAAATCTGAGTAAAAGTGTACCTACAATTTTGTATTATGCTTTTTCCATGTTATGTTAAATCATAAACCTTTTCCCCATGTCATCAAGTATCTTTGGAAACACCACTTAATGGCTTTATTGTATGCCTTTATCATTAGCTGCTTAACCATGACCCTGATACTGGATTTTTAGAGTGTTTGCAACTAATTATCCTCTATTATAAACTATACTGTGATGTAGATGCTTGTACATAAATGTTTTCCAAATTTCTATTTCCTTAAAAAAAAAGATATTCCAAGAAGTGAAATTACTGGGTCAAAGGTATAAAATTTTAAATTAAAAAACTTAGGGACTTTTTTATGATTGTGAAAGTAATTCATTGTATATGACTCAAAAATGCAGAAAAGCACAAGCAAATTACAAGAAGTGATGGCACCAACTACCTCTGAGTGGGAGTGCAGGTGCAGCTAAAAACAGGAGAGCTGTCTGAAAATGGTTAGGCCTGTGATCCGCTTCTCCATTCTGAGCAGTTAGGTAACCACCCCTCCCCCACTCCATGGAAGGATGGAAGTTTATTCTCTGGAGATGAGAAAACTGTTTCAGGACAGGGAAACATCATGCATAGTTGAGGGTAAGAGCACCACAGATAAAACAAAGGAATTAAAAGTTTACATACTGAATGGTGAGACCTTCAGCCTTCCCCCAGTTGGCTCCCAGAACACTGGGTGATGGATAAGGCTAAAAAAAAAAGAAGATTTAATCTAGCCTGGAGGTCATGGAAGCCTTCCTTGAGGAGGTGAGGTTCAAAAGCTGAGGAGGAATGATCTAGGAAGAGATGGGGAAGAGCATTCAGTCAGAGGGAACATCATTTTTCAAG